CTGCGCGTCCGGAGCCTGTGCTCCGCAGCGGGAGAGGCCACAACAGTCAGAGGCCCGCGTACCGCAAAAAAAAAAAAAAAATCTCTGTGACCCCCTACCTCTGCGTTCTGCCCTTCCAGGAGCATGGGGTGCAGCTACCAAACATGGATCCTGAAAATGAGTTTCGGGTGGTGGGCCTGGTGACCGTGACTATCCTTGTAGGCATTGGCACTGGCAGGCATGGAGCGGGAGTCCAAGGCAGGCGAGGGGGAATTGAGTTGGGGGTGAAAAGACTAAGGGGATGGCAGTGAGAGCTGGACAGATCAGGAAGGGGCGGAATGTGGGGAGATGTGGGATTGTGTGCGTGGGTAGTTGACAGAGCAGATTTCCAGGGACCCAGACCTGAAGCTAGCCGGTTCTGCTGGGAGAGACTCCACATGCCAGTTTTTGAAGGGGAAAGTAAGGAGGACTCCTTCTGAGGATCTGTTGGGATGAGCACTAGACATGACTACCAGATGAGAAATGCCCTGCTTCTTGCTCCCAGTATTTACAACGTTGATATTCACCCCTCTGGCATGGGAAGGGATGCTTTGTAGTTTGAGGCAAGAAGGAAAAGGACACCCATTTAGCCACATTCCTTTATGGGAGGAGGTTGGTAGGAAACAGAACGAGAGGATTGGAGAGAAGACTGAAGATGAGACAAGAAAAGTGAGGAGGAGAACTACTTCCCTTCCACTCACCTCTCTGTCTCTGTCCCTTCTTCCCTCCCTCTTTCTCCCTCTCTCTGTGGAGGGAGGTGGTGTCACCCATGGTGTTACAGGCCCAGATTATCTTCTTCTTCCTGGTCTTCCTTTCTCTTACCAACTACCTGCTGGGGACTTCCTCCCCACAAACCCCAGCCAACTAGCCACTGGCTTCTTTGGTGAGACAGTGGAAAACTGACTGAGAAATGTGTCCTCCTCAGAAAAGAACCCTCAACTTCTGATTCTGTATGTCATTCACAAGTTGGCCATCAGACCACTCAGAGTCCTGTTAAGTCCCTGGGCCAAAAATCCCTTATGCTTCCCAGCCTAACCTAAGTCACTGACACTAAACTGGGTAGAGGGGTAATAATTTGGGCTGAACAGAGGAAGGCAGGAGGTGCTCCTCAAAACCTCATCTTTTCTCTCTGTTCCTTTCTGTAGAAAGCATTTTCTTTCATAATATTGTCCCGCAGTGGTGGGCACAGTCCAGAGGGCAGTTTCCTTGGTATGTTTTCCATCTTCTTCTCCTCAGCCACTGGGGTACTCACCAGGACCAGTATCTCTAGGGACCTCAAGGTGACACAGATGTCCAGGCATGGAGCACACTCTCTATCACCCCTCTTCCCTCTCCACTGATGGTTCAACTTCTGTTCCCAGGACCCTGCTACAGCTGTCCCCAAAGGAGCCATCCTTGCCGTCACGTGGACCATACTTTCCTACCTGGGCATCTCTGCCACAGTTGGTAAGGCCCTCCACTCCTGCCTTCAGCAGAATGACCTGGAACCCTGGTTTCCGCTTCTCTGAGGGGCTAGGTGATGAAATGAGCCAGAGGCATTCATCAATTATATTAAAAGTAGCTTATATGCAGGTAGGCCCCCATCCCCTCCTCCACCGGTTCTCCCCATCCCTCGTTTCATTAATGAACTGTATGGTGCTCTTTGATTATCAGATTTGGTTGTCCCCCCCAACCCCATGCACACACACTTCCATTACCCACTTTGGCACTGGTGGTACCTAGACAGTCCTACTGCTTTGGGTTGGGGTTCTCTTCCCATGAAGGAGTGTTTGTGTCCTAAATCTCATTTCCAGGCTCCTGTATGATTTGAGATGTTTTAGGAAATAGGACCGACCTGGGTGTGCAGAGTGGGCGCTGCCTAGGGTCAGAGTGCCAGTGTGGCTGGTACTTCGGCAGATGTTGAGAGCCAGGGTCTTGCCTCTATGGGCTCTCTGATTACTACCAGGTGAGTGAACCAGAGGGGAAGATTAGAGAGATAAAGCTTACTTAGCCCACTGCCCGGCATGGAGTAGATGCTCAAAAAACAGTAATGACTTAAGTGGATTCATGTAGGAGGAGCCGAAATCTGATGGAAGAGGAGTTTCTGTGGCAGGGGTGGTGCTGGCTGTGGGGAGACACTGGCTAATGTCTACCTACATCTGAACAGGTTTATGGTTACCAGTTTGAAAGAAATGCCAGCTGGACAGCAAAACAGAAAAACTAAAGAGTGAAGAAGCCCTATTATCCCTAAATCCCCAAGGACAGAAAGTTCAGAGGATGACATACTTTCTGTCCCCTTCTGTATCTGGGGTTTCCTTTCTCTGTAGCCAAAAGGCTTTTGAAGACTTGGTGGTCGTAGAGCAGGTGCAGAAGCCACCACCAAAGGAGAACTTGGCATCTACCTCTCTCAACACTCCTGCTCCCTCAGGCTGCATCCCTGAGCAGGACCTGAAGACAAACCAAAAGCAGGTAGTTATACAGGAACAGGGCCGTTAAAGTGGGGGCAGTCGTCCCAGAGTACAAACTGACAATGGCGCTCACCTCGTCCCTGCTCACTTTTCCTAACCATGCAGTCAGAGTTGCACATGTGCCTTCATAAAGTGGTACGACAATATTCATGCCTTCATCAAGTCCTATGGCTGCCCTCACAGTCATGAATCTGGGAAGATTTCAAACTGCAGGGGCATAGAGCTCAGGGGTAGGACTAGTCCAATGGCTAGAGAAGCTGAGGAACAGGTTCCATTTCGTACGTAACAGGAGCCTGCCTGTGATCCCTCAGTCAGCCTGCCCTGGGGCCCTATACATGACCTGGCTGGAGATGCTGTCTAGGGGCCTGACATCCCCCATTGCCTTCATTTGTTGAAATCAGCAGTACACACTCACCCTATACTGTTAGTGAGACTCAGGAGGAAAGACAGCTAGGAAGAGGAGTCCATAATTTAGGACTCAAGGAGCCAAGATTTTAATCTCCCGGCTCCACAAACTTTTTGAGTCCACCCTTGGGTAGCCCAAAGCTTTGGACACACAAGGATTTTACAACAGCCCAAAGCTTCCTAGGGAGAGAACTCCCTGACTACGCAATACGAACTGCGGCTGCAGTGCCAAAGAAGGTCCTTCCTCCACAATCCATTCCACCCCATGATATTAATAAAAACTTACAAATAAATACCTGAGGCTGTGTAATAACATACTTGAAAACTCCTGAAGCCTAGAAAAACAGATTATTCCTGTTCTCAAATATATTCAACAAGAATTTATCTTCTATCTTCCATCTCGAAGTTTCTACTTTAAACCTCCACGCCTTAATGCGTTTCAACCCATTTATGTGTCTATCCTTTGCAAATGAAAAAAAAAGTATTTATCATCACTTTCTACTTAGTAAGTAATCAGAAACTTCCTCTTTTCCCAAGCTCATGTAATCCTAATTTTTAAAATCTTTTAGCTCAAGTCTTACCTTATAGTCCTTTGATTATTTCTTTGGTTTAGTTCCTCATCAGCTTATATATTCATTCAGCAAATACTAACTAAATGTCCACTATGTGCCAGACCCTGTTTTAAGTACTGGGAGATGATATGCCAATGAATAAAACAAGCTACACCTCCCCTCAGGGAGTTTATATTCCAACAAGGAGAGATAGACAATGAACATAATAAAAACAACTATTAAATTACAAGGTGCTAAGCGCTACAAAGAGAAATAAAACAGGGGAGTGGGCTAGAAAGTGCTAGAGGAGTACAATTTTAAGTAGGGTTGTCAGGAAGCCCTCACGAAAAAAAGTTGAGCAGATTTAAAGGCTGTACCTCCGGAAAGAGCTTCCCAGGCAGAGGGAGCAACAAGTCTAAAGGCCTTGAGGGGCAGCACACCTTCAGTGTTTAAGGAAGAACAAAAGGCCAATGGTGCTGGAGCAGAGTGAACGAGGAGATAAGTAGCAGGAAGTGAGGTCAAAGCATTACTTGAGGAAGGGTGGAGCAGGTCATGGAGGCTTTTACAGGCCTTTAAAGGGCTCTGGGTTTTATTCTGAGGTAGGAAAACACAGAGGGTTTTGAGAAGAGTGACAATCTGGCTTCCGTGTTAACACCATTCACTCTGGCTGCTGTGTTGAGAATTGACTGTAAGAGGGAAATGGTGGAAGCAGGTAGACCAGCTACGGCAATAATCTTGGACAGCAGTTTCGTGGAAGACAATTTTTCCAGGCTGTAATGCAAGCGATGGTTCAGGTGGTAACGCGAGCTATGGGGGTGGGGTGTGTGTGTGTGTGTGCAGATGAAGCTTCGCTCCCTCGCTCGCCCCGCCCTCCCGCCACTGCTCACCTCCTGCTGTGCAGCCAGGTTCCTAACAGGCCGCTGACCGACGGGTACCAGTCCGTGGCCCCGGGGGTTGGGGACCCCTGATCTTGGAGGCAGAAAATTCTGGCTTGGGCTAGGGTGGCAGCAGAGAAGTGACCAATTAGATTCTGGATGTATTCTGAAGGTAAAGTCAACGTGATTTGATGAATTGGAGGAGATGAAAAAGAGGTGCCAAAGATAATACCAAGACACTTTAACATGAACAACTAGAAGGATGGAGTTGTCATTACCTGAAATAGGAAAGACTACAGCAGTAAGCTGGGGAGAAAATAAGTTCGGTTTTGTATATGTTAAATTTGAGATGCCTATTAAGCATTCAAGTCGAGACGCCAAGGGCAGCTAGATATTCAGGACAGAAGTCCTGATTGGAGCGAAAAAAATGGGCAGTTATCCACATCGAAATGGCTCTAATGTGTAACACTGGCTGAAATCACTCCAGGTATGTATGTAAACAGAAAAGCAGTCCAAAGACTGAACTCTAGAGCACTATGGGGATGAGGAGAAACCAGCAGACTAAGAAAGAGTACTTGGTAAACTAGGAGGCAAACCAGAGACTACGTCCTAAGGCCAAGTAAAGACAATGTTTCAAAGAGGGGGTGTCAAATGCTGCTGATAGCCTGTGCAAGATAAAGCCGAAGACGGCATTAGATTTAGGTCTGCGCAAGTCCTTGGTGACCGTGATGAGAACAGTCATGGTGCAGTGGGCTCACTGGGGAACTGGTGGAAAGTGGAAAAGACTCCTTTAAGATGTTCTGCTATACAACAGAGCAGAATAAACAAACTACAAGGATATACTGTACAGCACAAGAAATACAGTGAATATTTTATAACTTTAAGTGGAGTATAACCTATAAGAATACTTACTAAATCACTATGCTGTACATCTGAAACTAATATTGTAAGTCAACTATAATTCAACTTAAAAACTTAGTAACAAACAAAACGTTTTTTAAAAATTGAGCAGGAAAATTGGAAGCAACTGGAAGGGGAAATGGGGTCAAGAGAGGTTTATGTCTTTGTAAGGTAAGAAAAATGACACCATATTTGTGTGCCAACAGGATATTCCAGGAGAGAAAGGGGAAAACTGACGCTACAGAAAAGGAGGGAGAACTGTTGAAAGATGTCCTTGAAAGCCAGGTGATGGGACTGGGTGGACAGGAGCCTGGACAGTTTGTTTAGAGCAGCATTTCTCAACCTTGATGCCAATGACATTTAAGCCCAGACAGTTCTGTTGTGGAGGGCTGTTCTGTGCATTGTAGGCTATTTTGCAGCATCCCTGGCCTCCACCCAGAAGCACCACCTCCTTTTGGTTGTGATCAACCAAATGTCCTCTGGGAGCAAACTCAGTCCCAGTTGAGAATCACTGGTATACAATAACAAGAGAGAAAGCAGAGCTTACAGGTATAAATGCTGGAAGGTATGTAGGTATAGTGGTAGGAGCTTGTGAACCTTTTCTGATTGTTTCTATTTTCTACCAAAGTAAAACTGAGAATGAGGGATGTTGAAGATTTAATGGATCAGAAGCGAGGGCAAGTGGAGAATTCCCTGGCGGTCCAGTGGTTAGGACTCCAATCCCGCAAGCCATGCAGCATGGCCAAAAAAAAGGAAGGGCAAGTAAAAGGACCAGGGGATATTGCTAGTAGCATAAAGGATTCACTCAAGTTTTATGGTAATGAATTTAAAGACAAGTCAACCTGTTTCTTCCCAGCCCTTTCAGCTGCATGGATCTAGGAGTAAAGTTGGTGAAGAGTTGAGTGTGACAAAAGCCAGAGAGAAGCAAGGGAGGTGAGCCCTTAACGAAGGGCTCATGACTGGAATTTAGTGGGAGGAGGGAAATGAAGGCATGTGGAATAAACTGGAAAGACAGGAAGTAATGGTGGGAGGGTGGGATGTTTGAGATTGAGATATGGAGTAGTGGTAGGTCTAGAATATGACCAAGGGAATGAGTAGCTGAAGTGGGGGTGGAGGACAAGATCACTGGAGGAGCAAAGAACTGAGACCAGAGTGTTAGAAAGATTATCTACATGGATATTTAAATCACCAAGATTTATGACAGGTACTGACTTGTGCTTCAAAGCTGAGGTATGTTAGAGATGAGAGAGAATAGTCTTGAAAATAGTATGAGGAAGGGACTCCCCTGGCGGTCCAGTGGTTAAGACTCCATGCTCCCAGTGCAGGGGACCGGGGTTCGATCCCTCGTCAGGGAACTAGATCCCACATGCCGCAACTAAGAGTTCGCATGCCACAACTAAAGATCCTGCATGCCGCAACGAAGACCCAGCACAGCCAAATAAATAAATATTAAAAAATATATAGTATGAGAAAAAATGCGGACACTTGCACTGCCTCCAGGCCCAGTGCTACAATGGGTGTGAGAGAAACCACCACCACTACTAAAAGAAGCAGAGTCCTCAGGAGAAATCAGGGCTCAGAGCAGGACTATAAAAAGGGAACATACAGAGAAAAGGTTGAGCATACGTGGGATTTTTGCTAATGACTGGCTGTTAATTTCAGAGAGGATGTGTATACCTGGGGCCCACCCCCTCAAGCCTGCCAATGGAAATGTCTGTAGGCCTAAGTGTATGGAAGAGGGATGGTTTTACTTTTGAGTTATAAATTAGCATGAAATTACACCTGGCTTCAGGCTATTTTCAGGGAAATTCTGAGTACCTATACTTCAAAGAATTTAAATGAGATGATAAATGTAAAGCAATTAGCATAAGATCTGATGCTAATATAGTATCAATGATAATAGCATTACTAAGAAGAGGTTAGAATATCTAAGAGATTCCCCTCAATTTTAGCTCCAGAGCAGCAGCTCCCAAGGCAACCTGCATAGTCAGCCAGGGTGCCGCTCTGACCCCTTGCCTCCTTACCCATCACCCCATCAACAAGAATTTATCCAGTGCCAACTGTGTATCCTTCCTGAACACAAGTTGATTATCAACATATAAAAACAAAAATGTTTTTAATTCTGAGTCATCTTGAGGTTCAAATGATAGGAGAGGGGCATCCACAGCCTTGCCAGGATTCTTATGTCAGGATAAAGATTAAGGCCCAGGGTCCCTTGGTCTCCACGTAGGGCGCTATCTACTCCGATTCTGTTAACCTTGTTAGTCCCTCCAGGTCACTTCTACTTCGTCTGTCCGATACCTGTAAAAAACAAATAGGAAAAACTTGGCGGACAGTTACCCCTTAGCACCTTCCATTCTTCTCTGCCCTCACGATTCTGGATCCTCTTCCCTGCTGATCATTTTTGCCTACCTCCCATTTAATCCTGTTTACCTCCTCCAAGGGGCTGCTCACCTCTGTGTGACCCCAGATTCACTGAGAGGAGTCCTGTGTCCAGCCCGAAACATCTCCCAGCCAGCCTGGGCTATCATGGCTCCATTGTCAATGCAGAATCTGGGAAGGAAAAGAGGTATGAAATTCATGATCGAAGCATGGAAAATCACAGTAACTGGAGGGGAAAAAAAAAGAAATAGAGAAAGGGAAAGGGCCTTTACCTCTCATCTGTGGCAAAAAGCCGGGCTCCACGCTCCTGGCACATCGTCTCCATCATTTCCTGTAACCTCATATTACCTACAAAGAGGTAGGGGTACAGTTAGCTTACTTTTAGCCATTTCTCCACAGTCTGGCTGTACACCTCATGTGCACTGACTTAGGAAAACGAAGTAGGCATTCCAGGGGCAAGGAGTGGGAAGCACTGGACAAGAAATAAAACAAGGAATTTCCCCAAACCCTTAGAGATTTAGAGTATCAGGAGGAGGATACACATGCCCCAAAATAGGAAAGAGAAGCACAGTTCAGTGATACATACACCCCACACCTCCCACGATGAGGGCCTCCTGGGAGCCACAATGTGCCATGGCTCGCTCTGTGATCTCTACCAGCATTGCAAACACAGTTTCCTACGGAAGGCAAACAAGGTGAAAACATCAAAGACAATCCCAGCTTAGTTCTGTCTACTATATAAAAGCTCCTCCAGCTTCAAATTTCTGTCCCAGCTTTTCACTCCATTACCTGCAGGGAGAAACACAGATCCTCAGGAGTACACTCGCCTGTGGCCAGCATCCGCTGGGTTACATCCTATAGTTAAAGGGGAAGACATACAAAACAATGAATTGTGGTTTGGGGATGACATATGAGCAAAAAATTAGTGCACCTGGAGTATCACCATGTTTCACCACAATTCAATTTACCAGTACATCCCATACGACACCTTGCCCTTCACTGGCACTGAGCTATAAAACCAGCAGAAGTCTTTCAACATTCAATAATTATGGGAAAAAATTTTTTTAAAAAAGAAAAGAAAGAAAGAAAATACTGTGATTATCTTAAAAAAAAAAGACTCAGTAATTATGAATGTCTACCCTGGCACCCTCCATTCCCTACCCCAGTTAATTTTTCTCTAGAGCACTTGTCCCCATCTGACCCTTTTTATTTTATTATTTCCCCTCTTCTTTTTTTTTTTGTTTCTCCTTCTGTCTCCCACCCCCACTGATGAAATGCAAGCTCCAAGTAGGCAGGGATTTTTGTTTTGCTCCATCTTGTATCACAATTGCCTTGAACAGCACCTGGCACACAAAAGATGTTCAATAAATATTTGCTAAATGAATTTATTCAGCATCTAACATGGCCCAGTACTATGCTATATGTAGAAAATACACTGGTGAGCAAAACACATGTGCTTCATTAAAAAGCATGAGAAGTGCCCATCTCCTCACCTCTCCCACACTCACCTCAATGAAAGACAAGATCCCTGAGAATGAGACGTCCATCCCCTTTACAGTGTATGGCAGCTCAACTAGCTTCTTGCCTCTATGTGGGAGTGAGTATATGAGGCACTTAAGCCTGTAGTCAGCTGGCTGCTCACCCTCCAAAGCCCTCCCAAACCTCATTAACACATATACAAGGAAATCCCTGGCGCCCCACCAGTCAGCCTCCTTCTACCTTATTCCCCTTACCGCTTTGCCATCTGTTCAATGTTGTAGCCTGGACTTGGGTCATTGGAAATCTAGCAGAATGAAAAAGAGGATGAAGTCAGGTATCCAGGAAGCATAAGAAGCTAATTTACTACGTTCCTCCTCCTTTTCCATGGCTCTCCCCAAATACATTCACATCTTATGTTCTCTGTAGCCTCAATGGCTTACCTTCAGCACTCGAGCAAAACGATCCAGACAATTACCCACAGCAATATCGATGGTTTCCCCAAAGATGCGGTAACGATGTTCTGAATACGCAATCACCTAAGGGTGATGAGGATGTCCATGAAACCTCAAGTCTGTAAAGAGGAGCATTTGGCTTTGGGGAAGAACACAGCAGAGAATCAACATGGTCACTAGAGCTTCCAAAAAGCAATAAGCAATGGGAAAAACTACTTTCCCAAACCCTCAATGGGTACTTTTTAATAGCGCTTATCTGAGAAGTCTATATATACCCCAAGGATTCCCAGAGGAGATTCCTAGTCTACAGAAGGTAGTCTAGGTCAGGGGAGAAGCAAATTATCACTCTGGATGCATTTTTCTTGCTTGGAGGTTCCTAATATTGCTTTAAAAGCAGTCTAGACAGTGTGTACTAGGGAAGGCTTTCCTTCTTGGAAGCAGGAAACCAGAGTTCTTCTAGGTTATCCTACGAGGGTGGTGGTATTTGGAAACCTCCAAGGTAGAGTTAAAAGAAACTCAAAAATCCCAGGGAATTCCCTAGCGGTCCAGTGGTTAGGACTCTGCTCTTTCACTGCTGAAGGTGCTCGTTCAACCCCTGGTTGGGGAACTAAGATCCACAAGTCACGCAGTGCAGCAAACACAACCAAAAAAAACCCAAACTCAAAAACCCCATTCTGGGTCAGACTAATGGCCCATCCAACTCAGCACTGGCAACCAACTTATGTCCATTCTTCATACGTGACCAGCTTCTAGCACAGAGTATTTATCACCCACTGACACATATGCTCCATACTGCTGACAGTGAGTACTTCCTAAGGACCATAAGTCCCTTTCCCTTTCTGGTGCTGCTAGGGATTTTCTTTCGTTCTGATGTAGCTCTTACTCTACCGTCAAAAGCTGGCAACAAAAGAGGAAAGAAAAAATTCTGCCTTTCTACTTCTGTCAGCTACACTTCCCTACCCAATCATCTTCTGTTTTTCACACCTAAGCAGGCTTCAAAATGGAGGAGGAAAAGAAGAGAAAATTCCATCGCTGCTCATCTCCATAAACTCTTGTAAGCTTCCACTGATACTTTCCACACCTCAAGTCCGTAACCTTGTATGATATCCTTCAGGCCTCAACCAGTTACTTGCTCACTACCCATTAAAGTTGCCACATTATTTTTACGGGAATGTGTACTTCATCTTTTTTTTTTTTTGCGGTACGCGGGGCTCTCACTGTTGTGGCCTTTCCCGTTGCGGAGCACAGGCTTCGGACGCACAGGCTCAGCGGCCATGGCTCACGGGCCCAGCAGCTCCGCGGCATGTGGGATCTTCTTGGACTGGGGCACGAACCCGCGTCCCCTGCATCGGCAGGCGGACTCTCAACCACTGCGCCACCAGGGAAGCCCCTGTGCTTCATCTTTAATAACTATTTCACAAGATGAAGTTTTAGAACATAACCGTTTCATAAGCTGGAGACAATGACCATTCCTGACAATAATCCCATCAGGTGTTATGTGGGAAAGGAAGCCTGGAGTTCTCTAATCCCAACCTAAAAAGATCTTATAAGGTATCCCACACAACTCTGGCTTCACCTGTAAGTTTAAAATACCTTCTGCCATTCATAAAATGTTTTCTAAATTATTTATATTTTCATACTCTTAGAGTAAAAACTTCTATATATTTATCACCAGTAACTAAAAACATGCAATTGTTGTAAAGATACAAATGGCATAGTGCCCCTTAGTTTTAACTGCTAAGATTCATAGGAAAAATAAGCTTCAAAATAATGAAAATGAAAATCCTTTCATTATTTTGAATACTTCAATCCTTACCATTCTTTCCTTCTCTAAACTGGAAATTCCTTATCTCTACAGCCATATATATAAAGGTCATCTAATGTTCTATCATACTGCCCAAACATACGATACCACAAACTCTGTTGTGGGTTTTCTAGTATATCATATTTTAGTTTCAGATGAGCCCAGCTTTGCTCTTGCAATTCCCACCACTCAGGTGGAACATGAAAGTTGTTGGTGCAGTGCCTTAGAAATTAAGAAGGAATGGTGGAGCTTTTCTGC